GTTGACGGGGTTTCTCAGGACGGCGTACGGCGAATGCATATCGAAGGACTCTTCCCCGCTCAACCAGCCCTGGGAAGGCAAACGACTGGCCGCCGCGCGGGTCGTCTCCCACCTCACCAGCGGCGAAAAGCACAAGGAGTCCTGGGAGAGGCACGCCGTGGCCCTCGCCCCGGCGAGTGGTTTCAACCCCGTCAGACACGAGATGGGCACGCTGACGAGTTTCCTACTCAGCCTCAGCGCCGACGCCCTGGCCTCGGCAACCACCACCTCCCTTGCGGAGTCGCACGTGCAGGCAATGAGTGAGGACAGACCAAACACCTCTACTGCGGCTGGTGCAGACAACCCCTTGTGTACGAAAGACGACGACACGCGTTTTGGTGACCCGAATGTGCCTGACCTCGCTGCCAAAGACGAGGACGGCGAAGACGAAATCCCTCCTACTTAAAGAGGAGATTCAGCCGACTTTGGAGGCCCCCAAGAGTCTCCCCCTCCTGGATCCTGCACGGGCTCGGCCACGGAAGTTGACGACGATGGCCCCGGCGACAAGGCGCCTCAGCAAAGCCCAACGGCAGACAGCATGGAACCCAGCTCCGACCACGACCCGATAGCCGCCTGGGGTGGCACAGCCCGCACCGAGCAGAACGCCAGTGGGACCAGGGGACCAGATCACGACGAAATTGCCCGAGACAGAGGTAATACGCAGGATCGCCGCCCCCCACTACGTAACCCACAGGCACTTGGCCATAGGCTTGCCTACTCTCGATCAACGGAGCGACACGCACTCAACCAGCTGACCGACGCCCATGGAGGCCCCATGTAGAAGGCCTGGTTGGGCTCCGTGGACTTGGGGCGCCGCGGAGAGTTGCCCGCCAAGCGCATCACCAGGCACCAAATCGAGTTGGGTGGAGTATTCTGTGCTCTGTGGACGGCCTACACACAAGGCATCCGGATCCCTGGGACCAGGGAACCCAAGTCAGACCCGTGGCTGCACTCGGACGCGACCATCAACAAGTTTTTGGATGACTGGAAGCACTGCGGATACGATGCCTACGTGGTGGACAGGAAGTTCAACTTCCACATCGATTGGGCAACGGTGCGGGCCGCATACCTGCGCCACACCTGGCCTGACGGCGCGGGCAAGGGCCACCACCAGCAGAGCAGCTGGCGCGAGCGGGCGACGAGCTCCTGGGACGCCTGGGACAACTGGCAGAGTGACTGGAGCGCTGGCTGGCACGACGACCGGTGGCAGTCAGGAGGCAAGCGTGGTGGCGGCAGGCCAGACGATCGTGGGGAAAAAAGGCAACGATGAGGCGACTGAGCTCCCCTCGCACCCATCCCATCCCCTAGAGGGACAGGTGTAGCGTCCGAGCTTCACACTTCGCGCAGCCTTCAGCTGCCTCCCTGGGCTCTCTCAGCCCGTGTGGCAGCCTTGCTGCCGCCCTCCATGGTACACGCACTTCCTGCCTTAGGACCCAAGTGTGTCGACCAGCAATACCATCTGCATTGCAGCGCGGGGGAGTGCTGCGTGCAGACCTTAGTTGGCCCTTGGCCCCGCTGTAGTTGTTCTCACTTCTGGCCCGGGCGGATCCCGTCCCCGGCCGTGCGGCTTCGTGACCGACGCAAGTGCTCCGCCTCGTCTCAGTCCTGAGTCGCGCTTTCAATCCCTGGGTTCTCACTCAAGTACAGCGGCCTTCAGCTGCTCTTCAGACACCATACTCGTTTGGCGGCCTTCCGCCGCCCTCCCTGCCACGTGCACTTCCTGCCTTTGGACCCAAGTGCGTGTACCAGCAATACCGTCTGCATTGCAACGCCCGTGCGTGCTGCGTGTAGTCATAGTGGCCCCCCGCCCCGCTGTAGCTGGTTTCACCTTGCCAGGCTCGCCCCGGCCCGCGGTTCTGTGACCGACGCAAAGATGGCTTCGCCTCGTCACCAGAGCCGTGCTCTCGCTCCCTGGGCTTCCCCAAGATACCACGGCCTTCAGCCGCGCTTCTCCGCCTTCCCTGGGAGCGACCCAGGGCTTGGACTCATCGTCAGTGGGTCTCAACGTTGCTCAGGCGGTCTTGTGCGTTGTGGTTCGCCCCGCTGCGTCGGCTGGAGTGCTCGCCCGGTCCGCTGCGGCCGTACTCGGACTCTGAGTCGCAGGCGTGCTCCCGTGCATGACTTACCACAGTTTGGCAGCGGTTGGCCCAGGCGTGCTACCCCGGTGGCTAGTGGTGCACCGCTCGCCGCGAGGATCCGTGCGCACTGACGTCACCCCATCGTCGCTCCCACGCTCAACCTTGTTGAGCGGTCACTTCCTGGACTTCTTCGCGGCTGCGGATTGCTTGTGCTGCAGTGGGTATGCGGCAGCGCAGCATTCTCAGAGCGCTATTTCCTTTTTCTGGTCCATCAGAGTATCCTGGAGAGCTGCTCTTTGTTATGTCACTTAGTTGCTTCCGGGTGCACGCCCTGTCACCCTCGGTTGGCCGTCGTGTCTCTCGCCAAGGTCGGGAACAGGTGTACCTTTGCACTGCGTCGCATCATGTCGTTGATCTATCGCGTGCGAACGCATTCTTCCGCAGTTGGTTTGAGGGTCGACTCCGGTTGTCGCTGACTTCAGTCGTGCCTTTTCAGCCGCGTGGATGCGTACTCTGAAGCTGCGACGGTTCGCTGGCGCTGTCAGAGTCCCTTCTCCCTGCTGGACGGCGTCAGCTCTCTTGCCTACGGTCTCGCTCATACCCGGCAGACACCCTGGGCTCTCTGACACTCTTCTTGCACGGAGTCAAGATGCCCACTGCCTTGAGGTCGTCGGGCCGACACGATCTTTGACTGGGGGTGTGCGTCGCGCCATTTTGGCAGCGTCCTCCCTGCTTCCTGGGTGGTTGTTTCCCTTCAGACTCTCTGGGCTGCAGCTTGCACCGCCGCCTGACCCGCGGCCCCCGCGCGCGCCCGGCTAATTTGTTACGGCCGCAGCCCGACCGTGATCCGCCGCCGCCGGCGCTTCGCCTGCGGCTGTTTAAAACATCTCCCCACCAGCCCGCCCAGAAACGACGCCCAGGCGAGTAGAGGGTCGTCCTGAGGGGCTTTTCGGCGTCTTGGGTGCCTCGGGGGGGCCTCTGTGGGCCGTTCGGGATCCTCTTTGGGGCCTCCTGGGGGCCTCTTGGGGCCTTTGGGAGCCTCCTGGGCGCTTCTTGGGGCCATCTTTGCCCCTTGGGTGCCTCTGGGGGGTCTCTTGGGGCCTCTTGGGGGTCTCTTGGGGGCCTCCTGGGGGCCTCTTGGGGGGCCTCTTGGGGCCATCTTGGGGCCATCCTGCGGCCTCTTGGGGCATCCTGGGGGCCTCTTCCGGCCATCGTGGAGGAAATCGATCAAAGAAGAGGGGCTCCCTAATTACAGCCCCCCCCAGGAACTCCAAAAATCGTTTCCTGGACCCCTCTTGGATCGCTTTTGGAGCGCTCGTGGCCGCTCTTGGAGCCATCCTGGGGCTCTCTTGGGCCCCTCTTGGAGCTATATTGAGCCATCTTGGAGCCATCTTGACGCGTCGGATGTGCATCGCAAGCGAAAAAGTGACAACGCCAAAAACATTGATTTTCCTGAGGGTTTTGAAGCATTCTGGCCTTTTGGATGCATCCTAATGATGCTCTTGTGGGCACTTGGAACCGTCTTGGGGAGTTCTTGGGGCGTCTTGGAACATCATGGGGACCATCTTGAGGCATCTTGCGCTATCTTGAGCCATTTTGGAGGTCATTTTGAGTTCCCTGAGGCCCTCTTGGAGCCGTGTTGGGCCGTCTGGGACGCTCTAACTACCCGCGGCCCCCCCTGTCCAGGTCAGTGGGGAGGGGGTAGGGGGAGGGGTACACCCCTCCCCGAAGGGGAAGAAGGAGGAAACGCTCTAAACCACCGACGCCCAGAGGGCTGGTGGGATTACACCAGAACTTCGACGCCCAGAATTCCGTCGCGGTTTTGAACAGTCCAGGTTGGTCCATAGGTTTGGAGTGCTATTATTTAGCACTCCGGAAGGCCCGGGTGGGGGGGGGGGGAGGTGCTCGCCTTGCGGCCGCCAGGGCGGGGGCGGGGGCGGCCGCAAGGCGGGGGCGGCCACCTGGGGGCCCCCAGCTGGGGACCCCCAGGTGGCGGGGTCGGTGGCAAGGCGGCGGCAAGGCGGTGGCCGCCCCGGCGCCCGCCCAGGGGCCGGGACCCCGTTGGCAAAAGGGGTAAGCGATTAAGAACCCCCCCGGGGTTATCGTTAGCACCGCACCGTAACTAAATAATTCTTGGGGGCGGTTTTCGCGGAACGATATCTTTAGCACCGCGCAAAAGAAAGGAAAATGAATAATTCCCGCGCCTTGGCTCGGGCGGTATCCCAATGGGACTCTGTAGGATTCCTAGATATTCCAATTCCCCTCCTGGCTCGTGCTCTTCCCCACAGCAGACTGGTCTGCGTTCAGAGCAGTTTCTGAGGATGTCTCAGGCGAGGCGCTTGTTTCAGAACCACACGGAGGCCATATTGCGAGAATGTTTCAGGCGGTTTGCTTGTTTCGGCGGGCAGACTCGTCTGCGTTCAAAGCAGGTTGCGAGGTGCCAGGGTAACGCTTCCAGGGTGCTGGAGCGCTATACTTTCGCCGGAGGCGGGGGGTTCTTCATTGCCTCTCATTCATTCGGTTATAAATGGGGCCCCGGGGAAATGGACTTCTGGGACGTCCGCTCGGCTTCGCCCACAGGGTCGCCGCGCGGCGCCTTCGTTCGCAATTATCGAAGGCTCAGGTGCAGCGCCGCGGTCTCAGAAGTCTCTTTCGCTGGCGTCCCTCTCTAGGACACGTATCAAAAGGAGCGGGGGCGGGCGAACTACAGGATCGGCAAGACGACGATGAGGAGGGACGCGAGAACCGGGGCAACCACGCGCAGGGGGAAGCGGGGGATGCGAGGAGCAGGGCGGGGGCGAGGAGGGCGACGATGACGAGGACGAGCAAGGGGGACGCTGGGAGCAGGAGCGCGAGGGCAGGCAGGAGTGGGAGCACGCCCAGGGCTGCAGCCAGGGGCCCCCGCCGACGGGGCGCTGACGTCGGAGCTGACGTGCTGCGCGGGGTCCCCCGCGGCGCTGTCGACCACGCCCAAGGGCCCGTCGGCCAGCCCGGGCTCGCGCCACATGGCTCCCAGGGGAGGGGGCGGAGGAGGAGGAGGTCGGGGCTCGAAAGACGGGGGTCAACGCAAACGGGGGTCGTCCATTGGTCCAGATCTTGCAGGGTCCTGCAGGGCCAGGATCGCACTGACCCGGGTTTGGGTGCGCGATCCTGCAGGATTTTGTAGGATCCTGCAAAGCCTGTCTGACCCGGGTCTGGATTGACCTGGGTCAGTAGAGGGACGGGGAGGAGGATTTGTACACCACGCCGAAGGACAGGGGAGGGGGACCGGGGAAGAGGAGGGGGGCGGGGGGCGTGGGAGGATGAGGAGGAGGGCGGGGGGATGGAGAGGAGGATTTGTGCACCACGCCCAAGGTCAGGGACGGAAGACGCAATGAACAGGTTCACACCGATGCAGATGCCCTTTCCCCGCTTTCGCTTCTTTCGGCCTCCCAGGAGGCCCTCGTCGCATTTGGGTTCGCCTCGGGATCTTCGTCTGAACGTACCCCTCCTGCGGAGAGGTCCAGCGGAGTTTATGTATTTCCAGCTGCTTGAAACACATGAGGGACAGCCGTTAGGTATGTTTTGCCCACCTGGCGCCGTCAGGCCGGTCCTGGGCCGAGACCAAAGAAACAAATTGTCAAACAATAGTCAGGGGGTCCATGTTTTGAGTATCTTTTGACAATTTTGAAGTATTATTTTACTATGTTTAACGTTTTGTCCAAAATCCGCCTGTAGGGGGACATGCCCGACCTAAGGCTAGGACGAGGATAAACCCGCTCAAGAGCGTTCTGGAACGCTCTCAGAGCGTTCCAGAACGATCTGGGAAGGCCGCAGCGCCCAGGACCTCCTCCAGAGCCGGCAGATCTCAGAGATTCTCGATTCATCCTCCGCTGATTTGATCCTCGTCCTGGCTTCGTCTAGTGATCGTTTTCTGATTCATTATTTTGCCGACCGGCGCGGGCCCTCGCACCCCCTCCCCCCCATGGAGCAGATCTTGCCTGTTTTTGGCGTCTGTCGCAACCAGGTGGAGTCTCCCCCATAGAACGCCCTGTTGCACACAATCGCACCAAGCAGAGATTCGGAGCCATACCATTCCCCTCCCCCCCCTTCCGCCCAATGTCGAAACGCCGAATGAGAAAACGTTCGCTTTACCCTGACCTTCCAGAGTGCTAACAAAATAGCCCTGTAGACCTACAGACCTATCTGGACTGCCTTGAGCCGCGACAGGAATTTCGGCGTCCAAGTCCTGGTGGTGTTTTCTGGCCCTCCCAGGAGGTCAGGGGGGTCGACACGCCGAATGGGAAAACGTTCACCTTGCCAAAGGATTTCCTCCGGATTTTTCTTGGCCCTCCCGGAAGGTCAGGGGGGTCGACGTGCCGAATGAGCAAACCTTTCCCCGGGCCTGGAGACTGCGGCGCGGCGGCTCTGTCCTTTCTCATCCTCCTCCTTCTCCTTGCATGCATTCTACAGCATTGCGGTCAACCATGATAGTAAGGATGGGGCACCTTCCCAAGGGTACCCCTGCATCCTCGCCTCCTCGTTCCATCCTTGGCTGCTTCCGCTGGCCGCGGCCCGCTCGAAAAGCTTCGGAATGGGCGTCCAAGGCCCTTGCATCCTTACCGCGCATCCTCACTGTACTGGTCGAGTGTGTCTCTTCTGCCGATGCGCCGTCCGGGCGCGACTTCTCCGTGCGTGCGTGGAGACTGCCGCCCGGGCTCGCTGCACACGGGCGGTCGCGCGCACGTGCAGCCCCCCGCGCGCGCGGGCGCCGCGGGAGGGCGGGGGGAGAGTCAGCGGGCGCTCGGGCGGGGCCGCTCCCCTCGGGGGCAACGATGGGGGGGGGCGGGCCATGGGTTGGGGGGGATGCATCGGCCCCAAATCGCCCATTGATCGCCGTTATGGGGCCCGATAGCCCCAACCTGCACAGGAAGGTGTTGATTCACTGTTCGGGGCCTATCGCCGATCTATCGGCGATGCATTGCCGATTCCAGGTCGATGCATCCCCCCCTGTGCCAGTCCCCCCTATAATTGCTCCTCATCCCCTTCCGAGCGGGGCAAGGCCTGCTGGAACGGGAGCTTGCTGCGACGCCCCACAGATCGGGAGCGGCCAAGAGGGGGTTGATGACTAAGGGTGGGTGGGTATCATGGCGGGGTCCATGATATCTTCCCAGATTTCCTGGCGCCTCTTCCTATGTCAATACGTCCCCAGCTCCCCCCCCTCGGCCGCGCACGTGCCGCTGGCCATGATTGGTGCCCCCCTCTTGGACGCCCCCCTCTTGGCCGCCCCCGAGCAGACCCAGACCCCTGTTCCAGGGGTCCATAATCTCACGTATAGGTTTAGCTTTTGGTGTTTCACCCTGGGGACTGATGGATAGAGATCCATCTTGTGTGCGTCCGTGCCACATGTGGCTCAAGGCAAAACATTATGTCCCCTCTCCTGCTGCCACAGTTGGTAGCGGAGCGGGGTCCGGCCCGGAGGCCATGGGTGCGAGAGGCTGGCTGTGACGGCCAGGCCGCTCCGCGCTCGCGCGCCCCGGAGCCAGGCTTCGCTCTGACCACTGAGCAGCGTGGGATCCACGGCAGAGAGATGCCCGCGGATGGTGAGCAGCAGCCGCCGCCAGTCGCCCCAGGAGGCGACGGACGAGAGGAGACCTTCGCTGTCATGACGGCCCGAGGAGCTGAGGGGTCGACGGCAGGAGCAGCAGCATCAGGCTTTACGGTCGTGGCGGCGACGATCGATCAGGACACGCTCACTCGGGCAATCCAGTCCGCAGTCCAAGAGACAGTGCGGGCGCTCGGCCATTTTGGCCAACAGCAGCAGCAGCAGCGGCCACCGCAGGAGACAACCTGGACGGCGGCCGACCCATGGGACGGTACTGGGGCCGACCCGTGGAGCAGCAACAGAACTAGACAGACAGCCGAGGTGGGCAACGGAGGAGCAGCAGGAGATTTAGGACAGCGGCGCTCACCCGGCGACAAGGACGACGTGAAGGAGGACCAGAAGTGGGACGAGCACCAGGACTGGAGCTCGAGCTGGAACAGCAAGTGGTGGCCAGGCCAGTGGACCGGAGGTCGAGGTGACTTCTCTGACCCTCCGGCGTGGCCAGACTGGGCCCACTATCGACAACGGCGCCGGGCTATTCGGCGCTGGAACGACAACACCGACGTGGCGGTCTGGAGGAGGTCGGAGAAGTTCATGCGACTCTTCGACTGGACGATGCAGGCCAAGTTCGAGGACATCCCGGACAAGGAGCTCACCGCCTCTTCGTGGTTACAGACGCTCCTCAGCCGCATGGACCTGATGATCGGAGAGCGCGAGGGAGATGAGCTACGACGAGCAGGACGAAAAGCATTGTACGAGGCCGTCCGCGACTCCAAGGAGACGCTCACGCAGTACGCGAGTCGTCGTGAGGCAGAGTTCATCGACGCGGAGGGCCATGACCTATGGATGTCCGACAAACTCAAGGGTCTCTTCCTAGAGGAGGGGGCCAACCTCACCCAGCAGGGCGTGCAGAATTTGCGTACGCTCACTCGTGGAGATCTGACCTACAGTAGCGTGAAGTGGGCTCTGCGCCAGCTTGACTCATCAGCCGGCACCGAGCGCTTGCTTCCCGGCAAAGCCGGGGCAGGCAGCATGCTGGCAGCAGCGTCCGAGGACCTAGGGCCGGGCGCTCGCTCGGATGCTGGTGCCTTTCAGTCTTCCTTTTCCCCTCCCCAACCTCGGTCGGTGTGAAGGTAGGTCGGAGGACGCCAACTACCAGGTGGTCGAGGACGAAGAGGACGACTGCGACGAGGGGGCCGACGAGTCGGACGAGCTCGAGGAAGAGGACGTGGCGGCCCACCTCGCGGAGATCGATGACATGGACATCGAGGAGGACGACGCCGAGCTGGTGCTGGCCGAGCTGACGAACAACAGGTCCTGGAAGCAGAACAAGGACCTCAAGCGAGCAGCTCGGCGCGACCGAGGGTACTTCGGCTCCCGAGGTCGAGGCAGTGGCAGGACCCCTCCTCCTTCTCGGCCAACCGGACGAGGGGGGGGTCGCCAGCGACGGGAACGTGACGAGCGTGGAGGCGGAGCCGGAGGAGTCGGACACAGGCCTCCTCCGGGCAGGCGACGCTTTCTTACCCAGGAGCAGCTGATGAAGGTCACCAAGTGCAAGCTGCGCCACGAGAAGGGCCATTGGGGACGTGAGTGCCCCGACGTCAGCAGCGCCAAGAAGGGCGCTGTCAAGCGGGAGGCTTCCGTGAAGAAGACTCCCATCAGGAAGGCCTCGTCCTACAAGTTCGACGGGGTGGCGTTCAGCAGCAACGACATGTGGGCAGCACCGGCGTGGCGCGGGATCGAGGAGGAGATCGCATCAGGGTCGATCTTCCTGGCAGCCTCGTCGACCCAGGGCCTGGTCGACCCCGGGGCAGGGACGGACCTGGCGGGCGTGGAGGCTCTCAACAGAGAGTCCGAGGCGCTCGCGACCCACGGCCTCAGGTACGTCGAGGTTCCTGCCGAACATCGGACGCATCTTCGTGGGGCCCACGGAGTCGGAGGCCAGGCCAAGGTCGTGAGTGCTATACTTTTCCCGTTGTGTCTAGGCGGCGTCTTTGGCATCATAGACACCACTGTGCTCGGAGAGGCTGTTCCTCACATTTTGAGCGCTAATCTTCTGGACTTTCTAGAGAGCGTGATTGATTTACCGAGGAACAAGCTTCGCTCCGGCACCCTGCGCACGACTGCGGCCATGACACGCCTGGGTTCCGGGCACAGGATGGTGGAGATTGCGCGTTCCTTGGAGGAGCCGGCGACAGTCCCAGCGTCGGCGCTCCAGCGCTATCCTTTTCTGACGGAGGGGTCATTCACCCTTGGCAATGAGAAGCCTCCGAAGATGCTGGCAGATGGGACTGCGACGCAGTACATCCCTCACCTCATCATCTCCATCCTTCGGTTTAGGGCTAAGTCGAGACGCACGGGGTCCGGGCCAATTTGCGCGGGTTCCAGGCCAAGGGAGTTTTCGAGCAGAACGTCAAGCAGGGA